ATGTTGGGGTAGCCTTCTGGTACACAGGCTAATAAGAATGGATGTTTAGGATTGTGGGGAGGTCAGACTTTGACCAGGAATAGGTTGTTTATCATCAGAGACTTTACCTGTAGGTGATACCACAATAACCCATGGTGTCCTGAGCTCTTATATATCAGAACAACGTTAGCTGATTTGAATCTCAGGTACACATGCAGGGAAAATATGTGGAAGCAGCTAGCAAATGTGGTATCTTAGTCAAGATTATGAGTAGGATAAAAAAATCCCACTCCATGTGCATGCACACACATGCACAGTGTGTGTGTGTGTGTGTGTGTGTGTGTGTGTGTGTGTGTGTGTGTGCGCACGCATGTGGAGGCCAGAGGCCACCGTCCACCAGCTCCTTTCCACTTTGTTTCTAGACACGTCTCTCACTGGTCTGGAGCTTGCCTCTTTGGGTAGACGGTCCAGCAAGCACCAGGGATCCTCTGTCCCTCCCTCCCAGTGCTGGGATCACAGGCATGCTACACCATATGTGGTGGGGATTGAACTTGGGTCCTCACACTTATGTGGCAAGTACTTTCCTGACCGAGCCCTCCCCTCTGCCCAGAAGACTTAAGTTTGGAAAGATACAGCTTCTGTTGTGAGGAGACAGCATTTTACTTGGAACTGTGTAGCCCAGGTTGGTTTTGAACTCTAGATTCACCTCCTGCCCCCCCTCAGCTGCTCCTCCTCCTCCTTTCTGGTTAAAAAAGGGTTTGAGCTGGCATGTAGGTGCTAGGAACCGAACCTGGCTGCTTCATAAGAGCAACAATCGCTTTTAGCCAGAGTCTCCCCCCTCCCCTCCCTGATTGTTTTCAAGACAGGGTTTCTCTGTGTAGCCCCGGCTGTCCTGGAACTCACTCTGTAGACGAGGCTGGCCTCGAACTCACAGAGATCCGCCTGCCTCTGCCTCCCAAGTGCTGGGATCAAGGGCGTGCACCACTGCCCAGCTCTGACTCAGCTTCCTGAGTGTCAGAATTATAGGTTGTTACTTGTAGAAAGACATTCCAAAATTGTGTTCTCTAGGTTGTGAAAAATGTAACCACTTGTAGCCTTCATTCCTGTACAGATACCTGGGAGAGTCCAACCGTGGGGTGGGGAGACGGATGACTCTGTGCATGACAGGCTGAACTGGGTTGGGTGTGGTAGTTTGGACCACAGAGGAGCTGGGTTGGGGAGGCAGGCAGGGCACCATCATCCTGCGTCGCCCCCTCTGCCTCTCACTCTCCGGTGCTTCAGCGGGAGTCCTGTTTCTCACTGGTCTTTTTGGGCAGAGATTATTACGTATGTTTGCCTGGGTAAGCACACTGATAAACTTGTAATAAAGTGCATCAGACCGTTCCCTTGGCAGGGCCAACCAGAGCAGCCTGTGAGGCAGAGCTGTTTCCAATGGAGCGTGAGGAACTTTGAAAAACCTCAGAGCGGCAGAAAGCAACATCTGAAACCACCCTTGAACAATTGTTTGTTTTCCTCTGCTCCAACCGCGTTTATAAAAATTTGGTCAGACAGGCATTTCGTTTTGATTTAAAATACTCTCAGCGACTTGTATCTGTCCATTGCATGTGCACCCCTGTGCTTTTTCTTTTATGAAACTCGAAACCCTTTCCTCAAGTTCTCCCAGAAGCCTCCCTGTGCCTAGTGAGGTGTGTGTGTGTGTGTGTGTGTGTGTGTGTGTGTGTTGGGGGGGTGGAGGGATGCAGGCCTTAGGGAAGTCTTGAAATTTGAAGTGTGTACTGCGTTTGTGGACTGGAAGTGAACATGGCCCAGCCACGCCGAATTGTTGTTTTTTTCTTCTACCTGGGCTCTCACTGCCCAAGACACGCCGCTTACCTTGGGCATCCGGTGAATCAAATCATGTGTCCCCGCAGGCATGACGGGAGGCATGATTGAAGCTTTTTGTAAAAATTTGGCTCATAGTAAGCCTCATAATTTTTAAGAAGGAATTACTTTTTCGCTGACATTAAAAACAAAAACCAACTGGGAGACTAGTTCGTAGCACCACACCTGGTCCGGACCGTGCTGGATGGATCCGGATTTGCCTCACTGTAAATGCTTTTGAGGGTGGAATTCTTGGGTTGCTTTCTGTCTTGTAAGCCCTTGACATTGTGCGGTCCTGTGTGCTCACAGACCCGGGACATGGGAAAGGCCAGCGCAGTCTCCCACTGAAGGACGGTTGGCTGCATTTATTCTGCGTGTTCTAGAATGAGGAAACAGTATGACAATAAACAGAAATGCCTTTGCCGAGGAGGGAAAGAAAGCTGGTGTTTATCTGGTCAGGTGGTTTAGATTAGCTGTGATGCGGCTCTGTATTATGTTACTTTAAATCATCGTGTCCCAACAGGACATAAATTATGAAGATTGTTACAGTGTGTTTCATCCTATGTAAGATCAACAAATTGGAATAATTTTTTTATAGGAAAATCACAGTGCTTTCAGCCAGGACTATTGAAGCCTTTAATTTGACTCCGGCATTTCTCAAATATTATTGCCTAATATATAAAGTATGATTTGCATAAGATATGAAATAATAAACTTTTCAAAACAAAAGAGAGGAATTTCTCCCTGTAGTACTTGAATCAAATGGCAGTGTTCTCCCTCCCTCCCTCCCTCCCTCCCTCTCTCCCTCCCTCCCTCCCTCCCTCCCTCCCTCTCTCTCTCTCTCTCTCTCCTTCTCTCCCCCCTCCCCCCCCATTCCCTTCTCTGGGCTGGGCTGTGTCTGCTGCCTGTGGCCTCACCTGCCTGGAGACATGACAGATCCGAAGGGAGAACAAGCATTCTTGTTCCAGTGGTCAGAAAAACTTTCCTCAAATACATTATGAATAGAAAATAAAACCCAAGCTGGAGAAGGCCCTACGAACTCAGCAGCTGAAGTTCAAGTTAATTTATGTGTGCATGTTGAAGGAAGCAGACTTGAAAAGGCATTCTCTTGAGTGCCTCCTCCGTTCGCTGTCATCTGAGCTGGGGACTTTTGATGTGCGTCGATTTGCAGTTGTGCTTTACTAAGCTTATTTGGTCACGGAGAACAAATATTTTAGTTTAAAAAATTAGCTGTGCATCAAGCCCCATATATAATGCCCCGTGGTGGCATGCTGTCTGTGCACGACAGTCCTGACTTTATGGCCTTTCCCATCCCACAGCGACTTTAAGAGATGGGACTGCCTCAGCTTTGCAGTGATCAGTAGAGGTTTGAAGTCTACTCAGTACGCAGAAGGAGACATACCCAGAATTCAAAGTTTTCCGGGTATGATGGCACTACCCGCCTGAGCTCTGAGTCTCTGACACCAGAAGTAAAGTGAGTGCTGAGCTTGCTCATTCTCTCTGTGGTCGTGAGCCCCGAGGTTGTCCTTTGGTTGTTTAGCAATGCTGCTTAAAACCCAAAAACTAGTTAGTCCCTTCTTTCAGTCTGCAAGGGTGAGACTTCAACTCACCTTAAGCTTCATCATTACAGGTAGTGACAAATCCCGAACATACTGTGGTTTTACTTCAGCTCAGCGTCTGCAGACAGGTGTAAGGAATGTCCCATGCTCAGCATTGTGGCATGCTCTTACACACACACACACACACACACACACACACACACACTCACACTCTCTCACACACTCTCACACACACACTCACACACTCACCCCCCACACCCGAGACGGCCTCTTTCCCAGTTGCTGCCTGCTTGGCACGGCACCCTGGAACGTGGTTCTGGTTGCTGTTTTTCTCCCAGTTCTGTGCTGTCCCTGGAGGTCTTCTGTGGAGTTATCAAGATAGCCCATATTTAGGTGCCGCATTCTTACAGAAAACAACTGGCGGGCTGGAGAGATGGCTCAGAGGTTAAGAGCACTGACTGCTCTTCCAGAGGTCTTGAGTTCAATTCCCAGCAACCACATGGTGGCTGACAACCATCTACAATTCAATCTGGTGTATATGTAATAAATCAATAAATTAAAAAAAAGAAAACAACTGGCAAACGTGGTAGAAAGTACTTTTAAAAACCCGAAAGGAAATGGACTCCTGGTTTAAAACAAAGTAAAAAGAAGCATGACCATGGACTTGTGGCTGTTTGTGCCGTGAGATGATTGGTGACGTGAAATGGGAGAGTATAAACCGGAATAGAGTGTATGGTGTGTGCAAACCTGCAGAGTGTGTGTGTGCTGACACATTTGGAGTTACTTTTCTTTCAAATATTTGTGACCGTCCTTCCTATAGATGATAATGGGGAGCGGGTATTTTGTCTGCCCGAGACCTTGTTCTCACCCTCCACCTCTCAGCTACAGGATGGTGACTTTAGTTTCACACATGCTAGTCTCTGTCCCTGCCTGGAAAGGGGTGCAGAGAGCCCCCCCCCCCGGCTCCACTTCAGATGTAGCCCTGAACTTTGTAGCATTGGTGGCAGCAATGTCTTAAAAGCAGCTGGCAGATTATGAAGAAGAAATTCAGGCCTGGAGATGTGGCTCCGATGGTGGAGTGTTTGCCTGTCCTGAGTGAGGCCCTAGGTTTGGTTCCCAGAATTGAATAAACTGGGCATGGTGGTGCACACTTGTAATCCCAACACTAGGGGGATGGAGGGGGGGTAGGGGGGTCAGAAGATCAGGGTTACCCTCAGCTACAGGATCTCAAGGCTGGCTTGGGATACATGAGACCTGCCCCCCCCCACCAAAAAAAAAAAGCAGGCATGTCACCTTGGCATTTGGGGGCCTGAGGCAGTGGGAAGGGATCTGTGAATCAGGGACAGACTGCTATTTTGCATATTATTCAGGTGTGTGTGTTTTTAGATGCATTGACCTGATATTCTGAATTCACATGGTTTGGATGCATGACGTTGAAAACAGACCCTTTTTCTTTTTCTTTTCTTTTTTTTTTTTTTTTTTGAGACAGGGTTTCTCTGCATTGTTTTGGAGGCTGTCCTGAAACTCGCTCTGTAGACCAGGTTGGCCTGGAACTCGCAGAGATCCGCCTGCCCCTGCCTCTGCCTCTGCCTCCCGAGTGCGCCACCAACACCTGCCCTTTTTCTATATAAAGTTGAATTTTTATGAATTTTATAATGAAAGTATCAAGGACCTTAAAGTTCAGTTCCTACAGAGACTGCTAAAAGAAAATAAAGATCTTTGGTCATTTTTGTAATACTTCTCACTTCATGAGCTCTTGAACTCCAGGAATCGGCTTTTACAGGGTCAGGTAAGGAAGCTTCTCGGACAGCTGTGGGGTGAGAGTGGGCACCAGGCACTGTTGGGACGTTGGGCACCTCCAAGAAGTGCTTCTCTGGCAGCTTTCCCTGGGCTGGCTTTGAAGTCGGTGTTTCAGTCTGCATTCACGGAAGAGGACACTCAGGAGACTGGTGGCACACGCTGATTTGAAGAGAGCAAGATTGAGGGTTGTGAGAAACCCAGTAAGTGCAGAGTCAGACCGGACAGGCGGTCTGCTCAAGAGTAGCCACGGAAGCTACAGAGTGCAGTCAGAGTGTCTGGAGGAAGTCAGAAAGAGGTGGTATCTTTTTGGGGGAAAGAGCAACGTGGCTAGAATGTCTTTTTTTTTTTTTTTTTTTGTACCAATCAGTTTCTGAGATCTGTTTGAAGATCTGTCACTAGGAATAGAATAGACTAGAAGGGAAGGGCCCTTGCTTAGGTAGATCACATGTGTAGGGCTTTATGATGGTCAAACTGCTGCTTTGAGAAATGAGGGCTTCGGTGGGTGGATTCCTGCCAGGGGAGGCTTCACTGGTGCAGGCGCCTGGGAGGCGTGCGCTCAACACGACAGGTCCTGATTCTGCAGCCTTGCATTTTCCCTTAATGATGCGCTTTGAAGGTGGTGCCATGCCTTAGCTAAAGTGCTGCTTTCTTTTTCCAGTGGGCTGTCTGTGGAGGTTACCAGAAACGGTGATGCTGGAATGAAAAAGAGTCTTCTTATTACCATCGTCATTGTGTGAGTGTGTGTGTGTGTGTGTGTGTGTGTGTGTGTGTGTGTGTGTGTGTGTGTGTGTGTGCGCGTGCGTGTGTGTGTGTGTGTGTGTTTAGAAGTGAGCATGCTGTCTCCTAGGTGGCGTGTTTATTTCATCACTAACTAAGAGCACGATAATTCAGCATGGGGCAGGGGAGAGTGGCTGGCTCTACCTGAGAGCATGAGAGAGCCAGTTGAGTTTTAGAATGCGGTTTTCTTGTCCCGAGTTACTGGAAACGCTAAGTTCTCTAGCAGCTACTTAGGGGGCTTGTAGCTGGCTGCCCAGTACTAGTGGAGATGTATCTGCCTCCAGACAGATGGAAGCCCAAGGAATGGTCCTCAGGACACACACACACACACACACACACACAAAAACAGTTTTCAAGATGTTGCAGGTTTTCTCAGCATTGCAGATGTAAATTCCTTTGGTCTCCAGGTTGGTCTTGGTTTGGAGAAGAATTTTTCCTTTGCAACCATAGGTGCTACAGTGGTCGAGCATGGATGGCCATAACCATAAGCGGTAAATGCTTAGTGGAGAGCCAGGCGCGGGGAGAATGGTTCAGAGGCCTCAGTCTGCACGGGAAGGAGCCCTGCTAAGGAGCTTTGCTGATGACATGTAGCCAGTGACTACTGAAGTCTGGAGTTGAACCTGGGTCTCTGATCCCTAGCTCTGTAGTTGACCCCTGGGCTCATGTACAGAGAGAAAGAGCACGAGTGAAATACATCTTTGGCTGGGCCTGTCCCTCACAATTCTGGTCAAGATTATTGTGTTGACCCACAAATTAAGATCTGATGTTTCCTTTGCACTGACTGGAATAGTGAACAGTGTTTCCAATGTGAAAGTTACAGGGAGATGTGTAGTCCTACTTGGGGGCAGAGTGTCTTCCTCCGTGCACCAAGCAATGTTTATGTGATCCATGTCCCCAGCACTGGGGAAGGTCCCGTCCTGTGACATGTGCGTGCTTGGCAATGATCTTGCCTTGTATTTTGCTTAATAATTTTCATTATTTTTAATTAAAGTTGAAGAAGTGCAGACTCTAGCTGAAATTAAGGTAGGCTGTGTTGCCGGAATCTGGTAATTACTTTAATTGATCACAAGATAGTTTCCTTGATCACCAATTAGAGGAAATTGCCGATCAAGTTTCAAGACGTGAAGAAATGCCCAAACTGATTTATGTAATAGTGTTTTCATTTCTAATCAGACATAAATATCATTTCCTTCCACAGCAATTGTGTTTTTTAAAAGAAGGGTTAGGCCTACAAACATGAAGGTGATTCGTAAACAATAGAGAGTTCTAATTCATTGAATTAGCGAGGGAAGTATTTAACGGCTTAATGGAGATTGTACCAGCGAAATTACTTGGGAGTACCTGGTGCTCATTTTCGTAGTGGGAGATATGTTCTCTTTTAGTACGTAATTAAGATAGTCTATAATCAAAATATGAAGGCAACTGATTTGAAGGACATATATCAAAGGGAGTTGTGCTGAGGACTGGAGGGCTCATATTGTAAACGCGCCCAGAGTTAAGCCTGTGAGCTTCAGTAAGTCATACATGTTATTAGGACCGAGGCTGCGCTTTAAGTTCAGGGTGCTGTTCCGTGTTTCACAGATTGATACAGGATTCCTGTTTTGGTTTTGTGCATCTGATAGTGTTCATGGTTCCACGGAGTGAAATGAAACAAAAGTAACTTTGAGGTAAATTCAAGTTTCCAAAGGGGACTTGATTTAGGGTTCATGGAAAAAAAAAACTTTAGTTGCCGATGATTTGGAGATTTCCAAATGACAAACTTCATCGGCCCAATTTGCCGTGATTGTAATGCTCACATTCCTTGAAATGGCAGAGTGACTTAAGGAGTCATACTTCATCATGCACTCGGGGCTTGTTCGCGAAATGTTTGTAATTTGCAATACAGGAAAGACTGAAACTATTATCAGCCATTATATGTTATTTGTTGACCATATGTTTGTTTGAAATGGCCGTGGCTCAACAGAACACGGCTCATAGACAAACTATGCTGTAAATTGGCACTAAAAACCTACCTCAACAGGTAGGCATATGTTAAGAAGTTAACATGAGCCAAAGTATTTTAATATGAACCATATACATACATTGCAGGGCCCTGGCTCTCTTTGCAGTGATAACTTCATTTGCATGACTCCATTTTCCCCCAAACTAATTTTTAAAACTAGATCAGATATATTCACTGTGCAAATTCGTCAGGTGCTAGGAACGCAGTGGGTTCTTCCTGTTTCTGGCCCTGGTCACCTGACTCCCAGACACTGCCTCCCGCCACTCACATTGCTCCTGTATCCTTGCAGGTTACTCTACGGTGTGAGTGCTCGGATGAGCTTGGGCATTCCCGTCCTCTCATAGACTCGTGTGCACTCGTTGTGATAGGTCTCGGCAGCATTTCCATTTCAGAGGATGGTTTTCTCATCCTTCCTGATGACTACATCACGTTCCCGTGTATACAGGTATCATAATCTGCACGCGGTCTTCCAGTTGGTGCTGCAACACGGTAGGAGAGTATACAAAGTGACCATGGCTGTAACTGCTGTGTGAGGGTCTGCAGAGTCAAGAGCTAAGAGGCGGGACTGTTTAAAGTCGTGTGCATGCAAGTGTGTGCGCATGTGTACATGTGTGTCTGTGAGAGCATGGGCACATGTGTGCTATGGTGCGTGTGTAGAGGTCAGAGGACAACTTTAAGAAGTCCGTTCTGGTTCTCACTGTGGGTTCCAGGCCTTTAACTTGGGTAGTCTGCCTTTGTGGCAACACTTTTGTGTGTGACCCATCCTGTTATTCCCTGCTCCCTCCCTTCCTCCCTTTTTTTTTTTTTTTTTTTTTTTTTTTGAGACTGGGTTTCTCTGTAGCTTTGGAGGCTGTCCTGGAACTCACTTTGTAGACCAGGCTGGCCTCGAACTCACAGAGATCCGCCTGCCTCTGCCTCCCGAGTGCTGGGATTAAAGGCGTGCACCACCAACGCCCGGCTCCCTCCCTTCTTTTAAAGACAGGGTCTCATTAGGTAGTGGATAGCCCTGGCTGACTTGGAACTCAAACTCACAGAGATCCACCTCTCTGCTCCCAAGCTCTGGGATTAAAGGCGTGCACCACCAAGCCTAGCTTGTGCTTTTTTTTTTTTTTTTTTTAGAAATCATTTTATTTTTAATTTTGCACATATGTGCATGTCTTCGTGTAGGTGTGAAGCTGGAGTTACAGGTGGTTGTGAGACTCCTGACATGGGTTCTAGAAATTGAGCTCTACTGGAAGAACAGCAGGCCTCTCAACTGCTGAGCCTTCTCTCCAGCCCCTGGTTTTGCTTTTTGAGATAAATTGCCGTGTGTCACAGGCTGGCCTTAAACTTGGGAGCCTCCTGGTTCAGCCTCCTCGGTGTTTGATTGTAGAAGTGTGCTACCATGCCTAGCAGACATTTATATTTATGTATACTTCAGTTTTTTTTTTAAGAATTTCAAACATGAACATTTCATCTACATCTCCCTACCTCTTCCTCTCCATTTATATATATTTAAAATCTTATAATTATCTATCAGCTACCTGTCTTTCTGTCTGTATCTATCTAGTATGGGTGTTTTGTCTGCCGGTATGTCTGTGAGGGTGTGTGTGCCTGGTGCCTGAGGAGGTACCAAAAGAGGACACTGGATCTCAGGGTTTGGGGTTACAGATGATTGTGAACCACGATAGGCGTTCTAGGAATGAGGCATGGGTCCTCTGGAAGAGCAGCGGGTGCGCTTAAGCTCCAGTCCATCTCTCTCCAGCCCCATCTAACCATAAGGGTTTTTTAAAAAGGAGGATTGTTTATTGTAAACAACAGCAGAACTAACGCTCAATTCCACCTAACTCCCACATTTTTAAGATTTATTCATGGCTGGGTGGTGGTGGCTCACACCTTTAATCCTAGCACTCAGGAGTCAGAGGCAGGCAGATCTCTTTGAGTACAAGGCCAGCCTGGTCTACAGAGAGTTCCAGGATAGCCAGGGCAGTTACATAGAGAAACCCTGTCTCAAAAAACCAAAATAAAAAAAAGTTATTCATCTTCATTTTTTATGTGTGATTGTTGACATGTATGTATGTGTATCTTTAACATGCAGGGTTTGTGGAGGTCAGAAGTGGGTGTTGGATCCCTTGGAACTGGAGTTATGGACAGTTGTAGACCCCCATGTGGGTCCTGGGAACCCAACCCAGGTCCTCTGCAAGATCAGCAAGTGCTCTTACCCACTGAGACATCTTTGTACCCCCTCCCCAACATTTCAAAAAGAGCCCAGTGGTGGTGGCACACACCTTTAATCTCTCAGCACTTGGGGAGGCAGAGGCAGAGGCAGGAGAATCTCTTTGAGTTCAAAGCCAGCGTGATCTACAAAGTGAGTTACAAGACAGCCAAGGCTACACAGAGAAACCCTGTCTCAAAGAAAGAAAGAAAGAAAGAAAGAAAGAAAGAAAGAAAGAAAGAAAGAAAGAAAGAAAGAAAGAGACAAAAAGAGGGCATATTTATGGTAAGATAACCCACCAACTCAAACATAAATGTTTTATTTGCCTTATATTTTCTGTACTTTCTGCCTCATTGATTTTTGAGTCTGTTTGTATTGTACCAATAACTCATAGTTAGTCTTCATTGTTGATGAGCTTATTTTGATTTTAATTGTTTAGATTTAGGCTGTGTACATTTATTGACTGTTTTGTAAAACATGACAAAAGCATTTACTTTAAATTATGTATGTGTAATGCTGTTTAGTTATGGTATTTTGGTGTGTTTTCAAGTTTTATTTTAGTTGTGTTTCCCTTAGTTGGGGATGTTTATGTTTTATTTTTAGTTTTGAGGGTACTATCACACATACAGCTTTACATGACATACGTAGCCACTCTCTCTTAGCATGTCCTTAGCATGTCCCCACTAAACGATGTCAGAGCTCATCATCTGCTTTCTCCCCTCTCTTCCACTGTTCAGTCCCACTTGGTACTGTTCCCTGGTTTGTGTCCTGTTTTCTAGCTTGAAAGATCTCAACACCTGTCTTTCAGCTTTCAACCTGCCTTCCACGAGGCTCTCAGTTATAATCCTTCCTTAATAGTTTCTCAGAAGGATGAATGGAAGTTGCTGCATTTCTTTTTTATCTAGACAGATTTAAATGTGGGTGAATGTGTGTGTGTATGCCTGTGTGTATGCGTGTGTGAATGTGAGCGTGTGTGTGTGCGTGCGTGTGCTCGCACACACCTGTGTGTGAATGCGTGTGTATGCATAAGACAGCATAAATGTGAACTTCAGAGGACAACTTTCTGGAACCCATTCTCTCTGCTTCCGTTTTTATGTGGCTTCTGGGGATTGGACTCAGGTTCCCCAGCTTGCATGACGAGGACTCAGACCCGGGGAACCACCTCACTGACCTCCATCATCCCATTTCTACAATGTTGTCCACTTCCACTGCTTTTGTTTGTTTGTTTGTTTGTTTGGTCTCACTGTGTTATCCCCAGCTGTCCTGGAACTCATAGAGAGAGGCCTGCCTCTGTTTCCTGAGCGCTGGGAATAAAGGCATGTGCCACCACATTAAGCTATTGCTTTTATATTGTGAAAAATAGTTTAGCTGGGTGTAAAATTCTTACTGGGCATGGTGGCACACACCTTTAATCCCAGCACTCAGGAGACAGGCAGATCTCTGAGTTCAAGGCCAGCCTGATCTACAGATTGAGTTCCAGGACAGCCAGGGCTACACAGAGAAACCCTGTCTGGAAAACAACAACAACAACAATAACAACATGCATTTCTTTATTTTTTTGCAATCTTTGTTTTCACTTCCATTTCATAAAGTCTTTGTAGGTATTGTCCCTCTGACTTCCAGTGCTGAAGCCAATATATGGAAATTTGAAGTCAACAGATTTTTCTCATCCTTATACATGGAATTTTCTTACTAAAGATAAAAGGATTTTTAAAAATCTAAGTTATTAACTTTGCTAATGTAGAGACATGGTTGCATTCTTTTAATTTTTCTTTTTCCTTTCCTTCCATTCTTCTTTCCTTCATTCCTTTCTTCCTTCCCTCTTTCCTTCCTTCCCTCTTTCCTTCCTTCCTTCCTTCCTTCTTTCTTCCTTCTTCCTTCTTTCTTTCTTTCCACCTGTAAACCAGCCCAGCCTGGTCTTGAACTCAGAGATCCACCTGCCTCTGCCTCCCAAGTGCTGAGATTAAGGTGCACCCTGTGCATGCCTGATGCCCAAGGAGGTCAGAGGAGGGCATTGGAGCCCCTGGAACTGGAGCTGTGTGTGGGTGCTGGGACTTGAACCCAGATCCTCTGCAAGAGCAGCAGTGCTCTTTTTTAATTTTTTTTTCCAGGAATGTAGCATCAGTGAGGAGGCCTCAGAAGTCTCTGGGGCCTTGGGTAGTAGATCAGTGTTTACCGTGGCGTAAGGATGAACTTTGGGAGCCCCCTCCACACCGAGGGCTGCTTTCTCAGCCGGGCACAAGGGGAAGAGCAGCGGTGCTCTTAGCCCCCAGCCCCTCCTCTAGCTCTCGGGGTTTACTCCGCTGCCATCTCCTCAGTCGGCCGGTTGCTAGTGAGTCTGTTGTGCCTTGCGTCTTCCAGGCGTTGCTGGATGGGATGATTTGAGAAGGTTGGCTCTCTGAATGACTCCAGGGCACTAGGTTCCAGCCTTGGTGAGCAATAGCAGGGCTGTGAAGGCCACTGAAAGAAGGATGTTGCCTGGGCTGGCCCTCTGGGCAGGTTCCCTCATTGTGTCCCACTTAACCGCAAGCTTTCCCGTGGTTTCTCCTCTCCTGTGTTCACTCATCTGGACTCCTGCAGCACACGGCCGGTAACTTGGATGTGTAAGGTTATGGACGTTTTAAATGTCTAAACTTTGACCTCGGTACGTAATGGGTTTGAGTCTGCTAAGTGGATGGAGGTGATCGTTTCTTTGCCCTCTGAGCCAATTTCGTACTTTTTTCTGTGGAGAAACTATAAGTAAGTCTGGTGTGATTTATTAGATTTTGTGATGTCTTCTTTTCTAAATTAAGTTTATTATGTTATTGTTACTATTATTGTATGTGTGTTACAGGTATGTATACCATCGCCTTGAGGAGGTCAAAGGACAACTTCTGGGAGTTGGCTCTTTCTACTGTGGGCTCTGAGGGCCAAGCCCAGGTGTCAGGCTTATGTGACAAGTGCTTTTATCTCTTATGCCATCTCCCTGGCTCTGTAATGGTTTCTTTTTCCTTTCTTTCTTTCTTTTTTTTTTTTTTTTGAGACAGGGTCTCACTCTATAGCCCTGTTTGGTCTGGAACTCTTGTATAGACCAGGCCGGCCCCAAACTTACAGAAACCTGCCTGCCTTTGCCTCCTGTAATGTTTTCCTAATCATTAAGCCTGAATATTAAAGGCTGGCAAGGTGAATCAATGAGTAAAGGTTCATGCCACCAAGACTGATGACCGACCACCTGAGCTCAGTGCTTGGGAACCACATGGTGGAAGGAGACAGTGACCTCTACAAGTTGTCCTCTGACACCTACAGACAGTCTGTAGCATTCACACACGGGTGCATACACTAAACAGATGTGAGGAAATGTTAAAAAAAAAAACCAATGCGCACATGATGTAACAGCTGAAAGAAATAGGCAAAGTTGAGGCAAATACAAACCCGGATGGTTTTTGGATGTGTGCTTTAAAAAAATTGACTTAGATACGGCAGAGGCTATTCATTTGATTAGTTTTCCCCTTAAGCCGTGCGAGTTCCTATAAACTCTGCATGCCCATGGTAGAAGGTTTTACTGGTGTGCTGGTAGGGTACCGTAGGTTAAAGATGTGAGGAATCCACTTGGTCAGTTTGTTCTTCTAAAACGCCAAGGGATGCTGGGCAGCACTTTGGACCTCTTAGGATGCTGTAGTTTGCAGAAGCTGCAGTATAGGGCTGATGAATTAGGCAGTGACTGACTGTGTGCATCTGACCTATTGTCATTTAACTGTCTCCCTATTCAGTGTCACACCTGGTGTAGTGTCTGTAAGTGTATGTCTGAGTGTCTTGGTCTGACGTACGGGAAGGGGCATTTTTCTGAGAGGCAGCAGCAAATTTTAAACCCTAGAATGAACTACTCAGCCTCTGCTCACCCTGAGCAGTGGCGGCTGCTGTTGCTGTTGCTGATCTCCGTTCTGGGCGAGGGGCTGCATGCTAAGTGCATTCAGACGTCACACCTCAATCTGCACTAGGATGCATTAGATAATAAGAGCTTTTCATTATCTCTGTTTAACTGATAAGGAAACTGAGCCCAAGCTGGAACTTGGTGGGAGAGGGCCAGGAAGGTTGTAAGGGACAAAAGCCATGCTGAGGGGCTAGAAATGCCATTCTGTGCGCTTCACGAGAGCCACCACTGCGGTCGTGAACTCACAACAGTAGGCCCATGTGACACGGGACCTATTGACAGCCCGTCAGGGAGGGGGCAGGGGCTCCTAAGGCCCTACCTCTGAACTCCTTACTGATCCTTGCTAGATTCTGGGAGACGGAGGGAACCAGTCTTTAGCTATGTCCCCACTACTGAGCCCATAAAGCTCCAGTGATGGCGCCAAACTCATGGTCACAGATGGCCCTCGCTAATCTCAGTGGGTCGCAAAACAAAGGGAGTAGACATGGATGTGCGAGAGAGATTTGGGAAGGGTCTGGGAAGAGTGCACAGAGGTAGTAGGCAGGTGGGGATGAGACTACTCAGTATGCACTATGTGCACATGCGAGAATGTGTAATAACATTAAATTAAAGAAAGGAAAACGAAGGGCTAGATGGACAACTGGATTGGACAGCTAGACGGACATCTGCATGGGCAGTGTGCACTGCTTGTCAGAGGACCAGACTTCAGGTCCCTTTGGGCAGTGTACAGCCACCTGTGACTCCAGGTGTACGTACGCACTTGAAAGCACACACCTATACACATTTAAAAATCAGATCTTAAAAACGAGCTGAGGGAGGAGAGTGAGGGAGCGCGTGTGCTCCAGAGAGCGCGTGTGCCTGGAAACCATTTATGGAAGCACATATCTTTACCTCTAGCACTTAGCAGTAAACTTGAGGTCAGCCTAGCTACACCAGATCCTGTCTCAAAACCCAGGCCCAGTTGGGGAGAGAAAGATAAAGGAAAAGAAATGGGCTTGGGATCATATGACAGTTAAGTGGTAGTGTCAGAATCTGAACTCAGAACTCCCAGGTTCAAAAGGTCAGGAGGCCCTTAACCATGTCACTGTCTGTCACCGAGGGCAGCCGGTCTCCTGCTTCAGCTAATGCTGAATAAAAGTAAGTCACGTTGACAGTAGAAATCCCCACGAAGCGTTGTTAACTGCATGTTTGGTTAATTAAACCAGATTCCCTGTGCTGCTTGTACCCTCCGTGGGACCCGGGGAATCGGATTGGGAATGAACAGGGGCAGGGGACTACATTTGCTTTGCTCTGGATAAATCTGCATGTAGCTAAATGGGTTCTTCCTCCCCTTCCTTTTAAAATGTGTTATCTGTGATTGACAGTTCACAGGCCCAGTCTTGTGTGTGCCCGGTGCAGGTGATTAGCATGGTCATGTGCTCATGATTGCACTGGCGGACGCCGCGTCCCACCGCCCTGCAGCCTCTTGTACACTTTGTGGTCTCCCTGCGCAGTGCTCCCGGAGCCTATGAGGTGCTGTGTAAAGTAGGACTGTTATTTGCAGTTGCCATCACAAAAATGTGAAAGGCGGCAAACGAGGAAAATGTTTTCTCAGAACAAAGGCCTTCTGCTTGGTGGCTCTGCTTTCCCTGCGGTGTGAGCCCAGCTGTCCTCGTCGTTGGGTGGGGTCCTCGGCGTGTTCCCAGGCTTGTTTTCTGCTGAGGTGCACTGGCACCTCGGCTCTGTGGGGCTGTAGCCAGAGACTCCCCAGCGGGCATGCAGGGCCTCCCTTCCAGGCTGCATGGCGGTGAAGGTAGGCCTTCCCTGGCTGTCCCTTGAAGTGTAGGCTGGGACAGCTGTGGGCCTTTCTCCACAGAGTTGCATTCTGAATGGCCCAAGCACTTGGTTCACTGAAAACAAAAGGATCGGTTAAGGAGCAAATTGGCTCCCTGGATTTGGGGCAGGCAGACCAGGGCACTGGGCTGAAGGGAAATTATCCCTGTGCAGTTGGGAGTCCTAGGACAATTAAGCAGTCCAGACAGGTCACTAGGTGACACTCATTTCCTGGTTTGTTTATTTGAGCCATTGTTTCCCACCTAGCAGTCTGCTGCCCCAGTGCCCTGGCCTGCAGAGAGCAGCCCTTCTCTGAGTCCCTTCCCTGAGTCCCAGCGAGCCTTTATCTGGTTGGGTGGCTCTGGGGTCTCCCAGCTACAGAGTGCAGGGTGGGGCCGGTAATTCTGGCCTTGGTGTCTTGCAGGCTTTTGGCTTCATGTCCAGGGTTGCCCTACAAGCAGAAAAGATGAATCATCACCCAGAGTGGTTCAACGTGTACAACAAGGTAACTGCAGCTCTTTACTTCGGGATCACGTTAATCTGGGGATTGAAGAAATTTCTTTATGAATTTGGTTATGCTGAGAACGATTCCTCTTATTCTCTCAGAAACCCCATGTTGTTAAACAACACAGTCCGGAGCTTTCCTGAGAGCAGAACCATAGGTTTTTGTCCTCAGGTTTGCCCTCCGACATTTATTTCAGAAGTTTGGACTATCGTGAGTTAATCTTGGATATCAGCCGCGAAGATAAAATTTTACATATATTTTTGTGGAGTGGTATATTTTTCAAATCGGGGTCTCCCTATGTGCCCCTGGTTGTCTTGGAGCTCACTATGACAGCAGGCTGTGGGAGAGTCTCCGGCCTCTGCCTTCCAGTTTTTGGAATTCAGGCATGTGCCGCCATGGCCAACTCAATTACCTGAGACCTCAGAGTTTTAACTTGAAAATAATGTGTTAAAAGGAATGGTAGCAAACCAGGTAGCATGGCTTGATGTGTCTTCCTGAAATAAATCTCAGAAATTGTATCTTTGTAGTAAGTGTTTATTAAAGATTTGATCTCCAGAGGGCACACTACAAAGTTTTAAGGGGTGCAGCGAGAACAGCCACACCCCCAGTGTCTCACCACTCGGGATGTCTAGACATCCCCTTCCTGGATGCTTCTCTCTGCTCGTGACGTCATCTTTCCTCGTTTGGTCACCTGCTTTTCCTCCGCCCCATTCAGGTACTGCCTGATAGGTTGGCTCGAGTCACACACACACACACACACGCACGCACGCACGCACGCACACACACACACACACACACAGAGCTGGTGTGAGCTTCCGTCTCCGTCCCCGTTTCCCAGGAAGCAAGATTGTCCGTGCTGGCAGCAGACTCCCCTTGCCCTCCGGGAGCCTTCCCTCTGGTGTGGCCGTCACACCCAGCCAAGTGCAGCCTGCACCCCAAGCTCACTGGGTTTGGGAAATGCAGAGTTTCTTCATAATGTAGCATTTTCTAGATCATCTAACCTCCAATTCTCAAATATGAATGTTGAGAAATAGATAATTCCCGAACCACCCAGGGAGAAGTCCCCCACACAGGTTACTGCTCAGATCTGACAAGCCGCTTTTCCCTTCGTAGGTCCAGATAACTCTCACCTCTCATGACTGTGGAGGCGTGACCAAGCGTGACGTGAAGCTGGCCCAGTTCATTGAAAAGGCGGCTGCTGCTCTGTGATCTCTTTCAGAACGCACGTCTGCAGTGTTCCCGAAGGCCATTTGTGTGAATAAATGAAGTCATAAATCAGTTTGTTTTTACGTATATGTATTTCTGTATGGTTGATGTGTAGATACAGAGTGATTTGAACCCAGAGCCTGGTTATTTTTCATTACACTTAGTTAGACATACAATAAACCTGAGTTATTGTTTAAAAATTGAGAGAGAGAGAGAGTGTGTGTGTGTGTGCGCGAATGTGCGAATGTGTGTGCGCATACAGCTGCCTGTGGAGGCCAGAGGTGCAGGACCCCTGGAACCAGACTCACAGACAGGCGGTTGTGAGCTGTCTGACCTGGAGCTGTCTGTCCTCAGGGCCTCTGGAAGAGCCGTGGAAGCTCCCGATGCTGAGCCGTCTCTCCACTCCCAACCTGGCTTGTTGCATTAATAAGATTTTCAAAGAAATACAACTTAAAAATTTTTTTTCTAAATAGGATCTCAGTATGTAGCCAGGCTGAATTTGGATTTTCTATATAATCCAGACTGGTCTAGAAAAAAAAAACCCCGGAATATATATATATTTGGAGACAGGGTTTCTCTGTATCCTTAGCTGTCTTGGAACTCACTTTGTAGACCAGGCTGGCCTTGCACTCAGAGATCCACCTGCCTCTGCCTCCCTAGTGCTGGGACTAAAGGCGTGTGCCACCAACGCTGGCTCTGTGTAATGTTCCACTTCCGTGTGTGTCTGCACCATGTGCGCTCCTGGTGCCTGTGGAGGTCAGAAGAGGCATCTAATCCCCTGTACTGCAGTTATGGACTTTTGTGAGTTGTCTGTGGAGTGAGGTCTTTACAAAGATGATTTTCATCGGAGACTAAGTCTGTGCACTCAGTTCACTGAACCTGGGTCTTCTGCAAGAAGAGCAATGCTCTTAACCTCTGAGCCATCTCTCCAGCCCCAGATGGCATTCTTAAAGGCCAGAATGAGGACAGGAGAGTATTTAGATTTTGTCACCCAGGACCTGCAGAGCAGGGCTTTGTAATATGGGGTCAGAGGGTGGTAGGAAGGGGTTCCCCAGTCTGAAGGTGTGTTCATTGAATGATTCTCAAAAAGCTGGAGTTGTTTGGGGTTTAGCCGGCTTACTACTTTTTTTTTTTTTTTTTTTTTTTTTTTGGTTTTACGAGACAGGGTTTCTCTGTATTGTTTTGGAGGCTGTCGGTCTAGCCCGGCCTCGAACTCACAGAGATCTGCCTGCCTCTGCCTCCCGAGTGCTGGGATTAAAGGCGTGCACCACCACCGCCTGGCTTCGTTTCACTACTTGAGTAGGCAATTTTATCACAGAAGTTACAGAAGTTGGGTGACCTATCTTGGTTGTGCTTTACTTTTGGGCAAGGTGTTGAGGGAGAAGACGAGTGTCCATGGCTCCTGTGAGATGTGGCCATCATCCACGGACTCCCTGTCATCGCAATGGGCCACCTGGCCACCTGGGCCTTAATGACACAATCTGTGCGGCGTGGCCAGTGAACTGAGTGGGTAGACTTAGTCTCCAGTGAAGATCATCTTTGTAAAGACCTCACTCCACAGGCCTGAAGAGCAATCCTGTTAGGACAAACCTATGCCACTGCTGCCTACAACACGAGGAAATCCATATGGTCATGCGGAAAAAGGGCCAAGCTCCCCAAGGCTGATTCCTGGCTGGTTCAGTTAGCCAGCGCCTTAGAAATTTCTGACTCTGAGCAAATGTCTTCTTAGAGGACACAGCCCATCAAGGCAGGGAAAGGTGGCCGCAGGTGTCTTCTGGTCACATCGCATCTATAGTCAGGGGTCTGTGGGTTGGGGCTTAGGTGGGCCTCCTTGGTTGACCCCCAGAACCTCTAGTCAACCCGACACCAAGCATACAACCTCTCCATTTTGTTTTGAATTACTTTAATGCAGTGATTACTGTTTGCTAGCTTTTGTGTTTTCAAGACAGGGTATCCTGTATCTCAGACTCACGTCCTTCTCTCTTTAAAAAGATTATTGTTAATTTGTGTGTATGTTGCCTGAGTGGGTTTATGTGTGTCACATGTATGCAGGTACCTGATGGGGGAATGGTCTTCTTTGTATATGCTTGTCTTATTGGTTGATGAATAAAACATTGATTGGCCAGGCTGGATGATAGGTAGGACTAGGAGGATTCTGGGAAGTGTAGGCAGAGAGGAGTTGCCATGTGATCCCAGGAAGTGATGTAGCTGGGCAGAAACTGCCACTAGCTAACCATAGAGGTCTGGAGGTCTGTACAGACAGGCAGGAAGTGACATAGGTGGGCAGAAGCAGAATATAAGCAGGGATGAACAAGAAATCTCCCCCTTCTCTGCGGAGACGCTGAGCCTGCCATCATCATGTAGCAGGCAGAGGAGTTGCAGGTCTTTTAAGCCAAGACCATGAGGAAATGCATAGATTTAGTAGTTATAGGTTAAGAATAAGAAGTCTAAGTCACCAGCCAACAGCTTTATACTAATATAGCGCCCGTGTGTTCCTCTGGGGCAGAGAAGGGTGGCGGGACCAGCTGGTCCAGAAACGTTCGTGTTACAGGTACCCAAAGAGGCAGGAGGGCATTGGATCCTCTGAACCTGGAGTTTCGGGGTGGCTGTGAGCCACCAGTCACGGATTCTGGGAACCAAACCTAGGTCTCTTGCAAGAACAATACGTATTCTTAAACCCCAAACCATCTCTCTAGTCCCTAACGGGATGGTTTCCTCATGGTATCCCCATACGTGCTATACTTGATGGGAACATGGGGTTTGGGGTGACCTAAGTCTGTGTTCCTGGGCCATGGTCCTGCAAAATGGCTCCATAATAAGCTACCTCTTCTTTCCTCCTTTTTTTTTTGTATTTTTATGTTTTTATTCTATGTACATTACAAAATCATTAGAGTATTAACACATCTTATATGTTTAAATATATTTTTAAATAGTTGATGTTATCGGGCTGTCAATATTTTTTATGTTACTTTTCTTTTTTTGAAATTGTAAATTTTATTGTTTTTATATATATATATATTTATTTATTTTTAAATTTAAATTAGAAACAAGGTTGCTTCACATGTCAATTCCAGGTCCCTCTCTGTTTCCCTCCCCTCCTCCCGTGCCCTCCCCTCTTCTTTCCTTTTTAAGGTGAGAGCCATGTTTGCTTTTGCACTGACAGAGGTTATAGTTAAGAAGTAAAAAGGAGAGAGGAAAAGGACTTGAGAAAGCAGATGGGGGACTCTTGGCTGGAGGATGTGGTCAAGAGGGGCGGCCTGATAGCATGCACACTGTGGGGGGAAAAAACCATAAACGGGGTTCTAAAACTTCACCCAGGGCACACAAAGGCCATCGTGAGACATACATGCAAAACCAGAAATTAAATGTTAGGAACCCAGAGGAAAAGAATACTGGTAGGCGAATGAGTGGCAGACACAGCTGTGCTGAGCTGAGAGGCTTAGTTAGTTCTCAGATCCTGTCAGCTCTAGATCAGTGGTTCTCAACCTTCCTAACCTGGGACCCTTTAATACGGTTCCTCATGTGACCCCCCCAGCCATAAAATTATTTTTGTTGCTACTTTGTAGCTGTAATTTTACTACTCTAATGAATCATAAATACCTAATATTCAGGACAATCTTTGGTGACCCCTGTGCTAGGGTCATTTGACCCCAAAAGGGTGTCGCTCCACAGGTTGAGAACTACTGCTCTAGATGACTCCACATGACGCTGTGTGGGTGAGGGCAGAGCGGAAGCCACCGTCTTACCCAAGCTTCCATGTACCTGGGTTTGTGGTATATGGTTCAGGGAGGCTGAAGTCCTTTCCTGGTAGCTCCCTGGGACCCGCACACTCTATCTTGGCCCTTCTGGTCCTCCAGATCTAGATGTAAGGACATCACTTGAGTTACCAAATGCTTTTTAAAGCTTTGCTTTAGAAAGAAATTCACAGGTAATTGCATGGAGCTAGGCATGGCGGTGTCCACCGATAACCCCAGCACACCGCACTGAGGAGGAGAGGAGCTGTTGATGGGAGGTCAGGATCATTCTCTGCTGCATAGGAAGTTTGGGGCCAGTCTGGGCTATGTCAGACTGCGTCAGAAAACCAGTATTTATGAGACACAGTGTGATGTTGTAGTACATGGATATATCACACACTGACCAACTCAGGGCACTTCTCTCCATCTCAAACATTTATCATTTAGGATCAGAAGATTTGAAGTCCTCTCTTCTGTCTTTATTATGTGACATAATATTGTTGATTATAATCACCAGGACTTATTTCTCCTATTGGGAAGTGCATAGATGCTATTATTTCTCAAGTCAGTGTTTCAGTTGCTTATGTCAGTGTTTTCCTACCAACAGTGGACATGCACTTGTTTTAGAATACTAAGGACTAGCTTGGGTAGAGTGCTTGCCCAGCATGTAAGGTTGTGGGTTCCACCGAAACTGTAGTTAAATGTTTTTCGCTGTCTCCATGGTCCCCCTGGACCGGTTTCTCTCCTGCTCATGGGTCCCTGCAACTGCTTATGAAATAATCACTCAGAGGCTAATATTAAATATAATTGTTTGGCCAATGGCTCAGGCTTATTTCTAGCTAGCTCTCTCTTATAAATGAACCCATTTTTAATAATCTGTGCATCGCCATGTGGCCATGGCTTACTGGTAATGTTCTGGTGTCTTTGGCAGCTACATGGCGTCTCCCTAACTCCACCTTCCTACTCTCCATAATCATTTGGATTTTCTTTTTCCTGAACAATACTTGATAATTGTTCTTATCGTATACAGTTTTGTATTAGGTTTAGAACCTTCTTACTTAGGAAAAAAGAGGGGAGTATTATGAGAACTCATTACACCAATAGCCTTGGGGCAGCAAGCTCTAGGGCGTGGCCTGGTCTGCTGCTTGACAGCTGATAAGCTGGCTGCACTCTGGCTCTCTTGCTCTGGCTCTTGGCAGTGGCATCTGCTTGGCTTTGTGTCTGTGAGTTTGTCTTTTCACTGCACCCCTTCATAAATTGGTTGTCATGCTTTTGTGGGCTCTTGCTTCACCTAACACTGCAAGCCAGTAGAAAAGAATATTAGGGACAGTAGAGATGGTGGGTGGCAACCCTATTTCCTCATAGCTCAAGAACCTGTGTTTTCAGGAACTTGTCTAACTCAATGAGTAAACATTTAGTGTTACACAGCAATCCAGATCTCTGTCTTGCCTTGTGAGAACCAAGCCAAAGGGGGGCAAGGAGGAAGAGAACAATTTTGAAGGTTGAACAGAACTAAATCCCCAATAGCTCTTGTACTTAAAAGTACAAGTCCTTCCTCACACTCTGAGTTTCTGCATCGTTCATGAGTGTCCTCTGAGCCTAGCAACCAGCATCTTTGGGGTTCAGCTGTGCTGGCTTGCAAGCCTCCCAGCTGGGCTGGTTGACTGCTGATGTCCCCACAGGAGGAAGGATGGGAGCTTCACAGGACCCTAACCTGAGTACCCAGTCGTTCCTTACCGCATGTTGCAAGTAGTTCTGCCCGGATTGCTTGTGGCCTCAGGCCAGGGCTGGAGTTTATAGACTGTGCATCCTCGGTAGAGCAATGATCCCTGCTGGGTAGACTTTCCAGTGTGGCCTTTGGGAGGGAACTCCCATGCTCCTGTGTACTCTGTTAGCAAGCCCAGTCAACTCATTGACTCCCCAGGAATGAACTTTGGTGCAGTCCTCTCCAGATTTGTCCTTGGGACCTTAGACATTGTTTACATTTTCCTCAGGAAAGGAGTTTTGGTAGCCACATCCCAAACCTCCAAATAGCAGGACCTGGGATGCCTTCTCTGCCTTCCCTGGGTTTTTGAGTTCACTGCCTCAACCGTTGCAATCTTCCTTTCCATCTAGGAGTCTCTGGTGCTGACTCTGGGTGTGTTCTGTCCCTTAGAACCTCAGAAAGCGTATAATTTTTCCTCCTACATGCCTCTCAGCTTGTCTTGCCATCTTATAAAAGGCCTTTGCCAGAGTGGGCGATCCCAAGGGAAGTCTGCATCTCTAATGCTGCTCTGCTTTACCTCTGTTGCTAGGGACGCATCCGCTCTGAGGCAGTCCCCACCTCAGGAACGGGCTTGCAAGTGGATGAGCCCACAGTCAGGCCTCCCTCTCAGGCTGTAACGGCCGGAATGGGGAAGAGTGACCTCATAAAGTGGAGAATCCTCCTCAGGGCCCCTCTGCTGCTTCTTAGAATCTAGGTGACAAGGAAGTCCTTAGGCAGACGTTTTTGGTTGTATGATTGAAAACAAGGGATTAAAAAAAAGACAATTTGGGAAATGTCTCAGTACTTTCACCACAACCCTGTTAGAGTTGTGTCTAGCTCACTGTTTGGCACTGCTTCGGATGCACTGTATGCAAGATTCAAGAAAATTAAGTAAGTGCCCTTTGCCTCCGTGGTTAGGAAATGTGTGAAGAGTAGCATGTAGCGTGGGGACAAGGCCCCCGAACTCCCCCAGCCTCTTCAACAGGTACTTGTCTGTATCCTGAGAGAGAAGAGCGTGGCTCAGATATGCTGGGCCCCCTGGAGGGGTGAGGTTGGCACATTTGCTATCCACTTGGAGTCTGAATTTGACTCGTGCCCATCTATTAAAGTATTGGATAATTTGAAGGCTTTCCCCCTTTATTTTTGCTGCAGGACCTATTTCAAAGCATGTAATGAAAATTACATAGTTTTTTATAGCTCATAAGGTATATATATAATTTGTAGTAGACTTTTTCAGACTGCCAGCCCTCAAATCACGACAGAGACTTACTATTAGTTGTGAGTGCTTGGCCTTAGCTTATGCTTGGCTCTTATAGCTTATATTAACCTGTTTCTCTTCATCTGTGTTTTGCTTCAGGGATTTTTACCTTTCATTCTGTATGTCCTACTCTGTGTCTGGCTGGCTGATGGCTGGCTGGTGGCTGGCTGGTGGCTGGCTGGCCTCAGGCCTTTCTCTCTCTTTCTCCCTCATCTCTCTTCCCTTCTCCCCTGGAGCCTAGATTCCTCCTCCTACTTATTCTCTCAACCTGCGAGCCTTGCCTGTCCCTCTTCTGCCTAGCTATTGGCGGTTCAGCTTTTTATTAGACCAACCAGATGCCTTAGGCAGGCAAAACAACCCATCTTTACATCGTTAAACAAATGCAACACACCTTTACACCATTAAAGTAGTATTCCACAGCATTTCCCCTTTTGTCTAAATAGAAAAGAGGTTTTAACTGTAACATACAGGACAGCCTCCAAAGCCACAGAGAAACCCTGTCTTGAAAAACCAAAAAATAAAAAGTAAAAATAACTGTAACACAGTAAGATTATATACAGTAAGAGCAATTATCAAGTAAAAATTACATTTAAAATTTCCAGTCCATCTGTATCTGGCAACTTCAGAGTAAACACTCTATTAGTTATCCTATATTGATGAGCCCAAAGTTTTGTACCTAGTTTACCTTCTATCATAACTAAGGAACACTGTAACTATCTAGTCTTCAACTCCATCAAAGACCCCAGGAAGTACAGTACAAGCCACTTCCAAAACTATAAAAGTAACAGAGACATCTGGCTTCCTGGACAGTCACTCAAGGTTCCTTTGTGACATTGGAGCATCCATCTTTGGCCTACAGGCCTAGAATATCTTGCAGAATTTTCTATGAAGCAGGAATTTTGAAGGACTGTCCTGCCTTGATTTGGCAAAGTTTGGCAGGTTTATTTTTTCCTTTGTGCCCTGCTTGTCCAGTTTGGATAGTATACTGTCAGCAGTCAAGGCAAGAGCAGTTTCTTGCCCAAGTGGCTAGCTTTGTCACAATGGAAGCAAACTCCATATGGGGGTTCCTCGATGCCCATCACCCTTTTATGAAGTAGATTGGTGCTGGCAGGAGCAGATGTGTCTCACTGTCATGAAAAATCTTGTTATTAAACATCTTAAATGCCATATTCTATAGGTCTCTGAAGCATTTGAAGAGCATCTATCTCTAAAATATGTTTATCCTTGAAAGCAAACATAATATGACTACAAGTTTGGTTATTATAGATGACTAGCTACTAACCTGCATTTCTTGATTATATATTATATTGTAAGTGAACTGCATAAACACAATACCCCAAACAAGAGTAGAAGTATACATACAGTATAACAAAAATAGCTTTAAATTTTATCAATATATTGAATCCATATTTTACCGATGTAAAATATTTGAGATTAATAGTTGTCTCTTTATCCCATATTTCTCTGCCACCCTTAAACAATGACGAGAATCCATAACCCAGCAAATGACCCAAAAACCACCCACCCCACCTCTTTGGAATGTGGGCGTTGCATTCTCCAGACTGCTTTCTGTTGTCTAGGGTGACAGCATCTATAGGGAATCCTGAGAAAAACTGAGATAATGGTCAAGTCCTGGGAAAACTAGTTGCAACATTTGTTGTCCATCTCAGAACTAGGGATCAGTAAAGATGTCTTGAAGTTATTCTTCATTTATGTCTGTAGCCAAGATTTTTCAGGAGATCTCCCCATATCAAACCTGATCTTTATTAATTTTGAATGAATCCACAGCCTTTCATTTCCTATGGAAACAAAATCATAACTTCTTCCCCAATGTAATACATTTTCTGACTTCCATTTTAAAGTTAAGGCATCCCTAAAGTACCTAGGCTGTTTTAATGCAGTCCCCTTACAACCCCATGTCTCTCAGCAGCTGTCATTCACTTATCAGCATTCAAAAAATTCAAAGTCAGCACACCACCATAGGAGATCCAGACTCCCTGTGCATTTCCCATCTTTATGTGGCTCTGTCTTTAAAGATTTTACTTTATTATTTTTAAACCCTTTTCCCTATGATTGTCTATACCCATTTTCTTTCTTAAGCCTATGCACATTTGTAAACACACTGTACCCTATTTAGAGTTTTGGAACCCCCACCGCCCCAAATCTGGACCTGTCTTTAATGTGCGTCTCTGGCTTTTTCTGACCACATGAGCCAAACCTTGGACTTCGAGGCGGCTTTGAACTGGCACCTGCTCTGCCCCACACAGGTCCATGAGAGCTGAGTTTTATGCCCTGCAAGCCTGGCTAAAAGCTGTGTTTAACTGGGAGCTGTAGGAAGCTGGTACCCTCACGGTGGCAGGTGTTTTTCCCTCAGCCCTCGATGTGCGGGCTACTCAAGCTCTCATTGGACAACAGAGCCTCTTAAAGGAGCCAAATCAACTTTTTGGTTTGTGCTATGTTTTTTTTTCTGCTTTCTCAGATCCTGTGTAGAAATTTGGGTCCCACATTAGAATGCCAAATGTAACAGGCTTTCTTTTGGGTCACCAACCAGCTCCCAAATCATGACACGGAGACTTCTTATTAGTTATGCTTGGCCTTAGCTTATGCTCCCCCACTAGCTCTGATAACTGGAATTAACCTGGTTCTCTTCGTCCACATTTTGCCTCAGGGCTTTTTAACCTTTCTTCTCTTTTCTTCTTTTGGTTTTTCGAGACAGGTTTTCTCTGTATTGTTTTGGAGGCTGTCCTGGAACTCACTCTGTAGAGCAGGCTGGCCTCGAACTCACAGAGATCCTTCTGCCTCTGCCTCCCCAGTGCTGGGATTAAAGGTGTGTGCCACCAATGCTAGGTCCCTGTCTTTCACTACATATGCCCTGCTCCATTTCTGGCAAGCTGATAGCTGCCTGGCTGTCTGGCCCTGGCCATCTCCCTCTCTTCCTCTCTCTCCTCATTCTCTCGCTCTTCATCCTACTTATCTACTTATTCTCTCTGCCCACCAGCTCTGCCTATCCCTCCACTGCTTAGCTATTGGTTACTCAGGGAGGGGAGGGGAGGGGAAGGGAGAGGGGAGAGGGGAGAGGAGAGAGGGGAGAGGAGAGAGGAGAGAGGGGAGAGGAGAGGGAATTCAGTTACGACAGCCTGCACCTGAGACCTCAAGCCTGCTCAGGAGGCTGAGCAGGAAGATAGCTCGGATCTACAACATGGTGAGTTATTCATCTTAAGACACAGAGATCCGGGGAGCTGAAGCCCCACTGGCCTCTGTGGACGCCACACATGCAGGTGGGGGCACATACATGCATGCTGGCACGCACATAACACATACAGAAAAAAACACGGCTATTGTTGTGGAATATTACTTTAACTATGTAAAGGTGTGTTACATTTGTTTATGCTGTGTTTGTTTCATTATGTAAAGATGTGTTGCTGTTTCTCCTTGCCTGCCTAAGGCACCTCCCCCCTTCCCCTCCCCTCACTCTCCCCCTCCCCTCTCTCCCTCCCCCCTCCCCTCCATGAATCTCACTTACTGGGTGAAGTCTTTTTGAGATGAGTGTGTTTCCATCTTGTTTTGTTGTGTGACAACTCTTCTTCAGGAGTTCAGGGAGAGGGTGGGGACAGGCTGCCCTGACCACCTCCCAGTCTTGGGGTCACTCATCTTTGGGGGTGCAGTTGAGTGGGAGCCGAGCTGTTCTGTGGTAACAGCGCCTCTTGTCTGCCCTTCCGACAGGAGGAAGGATGTGGAGTGTCAGGCGTTCTTCAGGTCCATCTTAAAGAGCTCCTTGCTCCATGCCCTCTTGATCAGCACCATCACCTCAAACGCCTTTTTCATGGTCTTGGGAACCGATTACAACATAAGGTACAAACTGTTCCGACTCTTTGAGGTGAGCACACGGATGCTTCTATTCTACTTGGCCTGTTTTATGTCTGAAATGTTAAAAAAACAAAACAAAACATTCCACAGGCATTTTGCTGCAAGAAATTTTCTGTAGAAACAATTTAAAAGGTCTTTGACCTCCACAATAGCATTAGACAGTGACAGAAGCGGTGTGGTGATGTGACTGGTAAATCTCCCCGAATGCTCTCTTACTATACGCAGAGAAAGTAGATATCACAACTGAGACTCACTCACAGGCAGCATTTCCAATGAAACTAGCGTCAGTCCCTGTGGGGAGGAAGCAGGGGGCACGAGGGGAAAGTGCTGGGTTGAGGTGAGGCTAGCTATCCGAAGCGAGAATTTTGTTGCCCACACCAGTAGTCAGTACAGAAGTCCCCTGTCACCTCCTAAAGGGGCTGGGGCAATCCAGGACTGAGGAGAACTGACGGGCAGGGCCCCCTCCAAAGGACTGTCAGGCACTTAGGAGAATGGGAGTAAGGTTTAGCAAGCTGGAGACACACAGATTAAAAAAAAAAAGACAGGGTTCAGATAAACCAGAAGGAAATAGAATTAAAACAGCCTCCCCCCCCCAAATGAAGCTCAGTGGAGTTAGAGCATGCTTTCTTAAAGGTTAGGAAATGAATTTAGGATGGGAAGCACAATAGGAAATAACAAGGTCAAACGCCACACGTTAGTGTAAGAAAACAGCAAGGAATCTGATCTAGAGGTCATAAAATCCACTGTAAAGATACAAAATCAGATAAACACGATAGCATCTAACCCTGGGGCAAAGTGATGTTCAGGAAGCTGGTGTAGGTGTTGGAAGGAATGGAAACAAAGTGATGTTCAGGAAGCTGTTTGTAGGTTTTGGAGGAATGGAAGCAAAGTGACGGAACTCAGGAAAGTGGACATGAAATAAAACCATTTCAGAACAAAGGCTAAAGTAGAGCAAACAGTTAAGTACAATAGGTGGTAACTTGAATTAAATCGAGGAATTAAAAAAAAACTCATGAGCCGGGCGTTGGTGGCGCACGCCTTTAATCCCAGCACTCGGGAGGCAGAGGCAGGTGGATCTTTGTGAGTTTGAGACCAGCCTGGTCTACAAGAGCTAGTTCCAGGACAGCCTCCAAAGCCACAGAGAAACCCTGTCTCGAAAAAAACAAAACAAAACAAAAAAAACTCATTAAAAGTGGAAGTGACGGAAAATGCTGAGTATTGGGTGTTGAGGAAAAGACCCTGGGTAAGGATGATAGGAACTCTTGTGTTTCAGATATCCACGGATCAGAATGCTAAAAGTCTAACCCTCCCCCAGAAGCACCCCAATCTGTATGTTGAAAGAGTTCACATTCCACACCCAAGAATATGAACTCAACCCAACAAACACTAGGGCGCTGGAGCCAAATGGTTGGACTTCAGAGAGTCTGGGAAGCCCTGCTAAAGAAGACTCAAGTCTCCATCACACTTCTCCATGGCTGTGCTCTCTGCCCAAAGATAGTAGAGTGACACGCTCAACTTCCTCAGGGAAGAACATGCGAACCCTGAACATCAGGTGAATGGAGGGGACTCAGGCTTCCTTAGGGATTCACTTAAGAAACAGTCACATCCCGAGTGACGGAAGAAGCATCACTTTGGCAATGAACATGGCAGGTGTAGTTGTTTGTAGGATTAAACTGTCATTTCACAGGAAAAACAGCACACGGTGAATGTTCTTTGATCCTAAGGTTATAGCATGCTGAAAGACCAGGGACATCTGATAGAGCTGTTGCAAAGAGTCGCAGCACGAGGTTTGATAGGTCTCAGTACTAAAAACTTGGGAGTCAGACACCAGGCATGAAAGATGGAGGATCTGAGATGAAGAGCAGCCAGCTGCTAGAGTCCTTCTACCAATGCTCAGACCAAAGGGGCGGTCCTGCCCTCAGTCTGCCTCCTCAGACTGTCCCGAACGCCTGTCCCCTCCCGCCTTATATTCCTCTCTCAGCTCAGTCATGTCAATCCTGTCTCCACCTCCTAGTGCTGGGATTCAAGTCATGGGATCCCAAGTGCTAGGATCACCGTTGTGTGAGCTCTGTTTCTCTTTTAGACAGATTCAGTCTCGAGTAGCCCAGTGTGGTCTTGAACTCACAGAGATCCGTCTGCCTCTGTCTCCTGAGTGCTGGGATTAAAGGTGTGTGCCACCACCTGGCCTCTCTGGCTAACTAGTGGCTTAGCTCTGTACTCTGATCTTCAGACAAGCTTTATTTGTTAGATGACAAACAAAATATCACTACAAAAAGTTTTTTAAAACTTTTTTTTTTAGACAGGGTTTCTCTGTGTAGCGCTGGCTGTTCTGGAACTCGATCTGTAGACCAGGCTGGCCTCAGACTCACAGAGATGCCCCTGCCTCTGCCTTCTGAGTGCTAGTATTAAAGCCATGCACCACCACTGCCTGACAAAACTGTTTTTTAAATTTAAAATTTGATAATTTCATACAATAAAATATGATCATATACATCTTTCCTTTCCCCTCTGATTCCCTCTGTACCCCTCCCAACATGCCTCTTCCAAAATTTTATATCTTTAAAATTTTTTTGATGCCCTACTAAGCCCATAAGTGCCTGTGCATGTGCTGGCCCTTGGAGAGCTGGCCAGTAGGGAGAGCATTTCCTGGTTGGCTTGAGATGGTTTCTCTTATGCCCTGTGCCTTCTCTGTGACCTCTGTGCTAAAAGTGCATGATGTCTTCAGCAACAGGGTCTTACCATGTGGGCCCCTGTTCAACAATCCCCTCAGTCGTGATACACACAGTAGTGTTATCCCGTGACACTCTGAGACATCTGATGAAGCACAAGGGTAATTGTGGAGTTTTTCTCTTCCATTTATTTTTCCAGGGCAGAGGGTGTGCTCACACACAGTGGGCAAGCCCTGGACCACCAGCTTCCATCTTCCACCCCACCAAGGACAGCTCACATTTTGTTGGCTTTCTTCTGTGTTGTTCGTTTGTGGCATTCGTCTGTTTATAGCAAGCTCTCATGTGTAGCACCCCCGACCCCATGTTCCTTTTGCTTCAGCATCCCGAATGCTGGGACCCACCCCGTGCTGCTGAAAATGAGGGTGCTGGTGGAACCTCCGGAGATGGAGATGAACAGATGCTGTTGAATTCAGGGTCCGTGGCTCTGTGTCTGCTTTGGAAATGCCAGCACAAACAGCCGGGGGTGTTCTGTCTTCTCCACCAATGACCAGAGCACGGACCCACTCAGCTGTGACAGTGAAACGGGAGCTTAGAGGGATAGCTGATCCCAGGGTCTGTGCTGGGTCTTGTCATGTACGCTGTAAGGAGGCTGTCAGAGATGGTGGCGCTCATGGCAAAAGGACGCAGGAGATGATTCGGGGTCAGTTCTGCTGGCTGAAGATGAGACCTTGTGAGGGTCAAGGCTAATAAATACCACGGTTAGAAAATCCTCAAAGACGGAGCTGAGGCCAAGGAGGTAAGGGGCTAACCCTTCCTCTTGCAACGGAAGCCACAAGAAAGAGTCAAGCTTTGTTGGTGTCTCTGATGAATGAGTTCTCTACCATGCGGCTACTCATACTGCAGTTCCTGTTGTAAGACAAGTTCATGCTCTGCGGCCCAGGTTGGATCCAAACTCATGGTCCTTCTGCCTCAGCCTCCCATGTGTTGGGGCTTCAGGTGCACCACTGTGCACCATAGTTCTGTAAAGTGTCCCAGCTGATACATTAGAAAGAAATGACAGGCCGGGCATTGGTGGCACACACCTTTAATCCCAGCACTCGGGAGGCAGAGGCAGGCGGATCTCTGTGAGTTTGAGGCCAGCCTGATCTACAGAACAAGTTCCAGGACAGCCTCCAAAACAATACAGAGAAACCCTGTTTCGAGAAACCAAAAAAAAAAAAAAAACAACAACAACAACAACAACAAAAAAAAAAGAAAGAAAGAAAGAAAGAAATGACAATATGTCACCTACCTCAACTCTGGAGAAGCAATGGATCAGGGCACTGAGTATCAACAAGAAACCAGAGACGCCATGTGCCTGCTACAAAAGGAAGCTACTGCAGCCTTGCTTGGGATAAACCTGAATGTGTTCAAGCTTTTGGAACCTGCTGCCTACTGCCAGGAGACAGGGAGGAGAGGAAGGACACACTCCAGGATGTAGACTGGAATGTTCTTCCGTCCCACTACTTGGATTAAAATATTACTTGTGTGTATCTCTGTATGTGTATGTGCATGCTGATACCCATGGTGGCCAGAAGAGGGCGTCAGATCCCCTGGGTCTGGAGAGACAGGCGGTTCTGAGCCACCTGATGTGGGTGCTGGGAAATGAACTCTGGTCCTCTCCAAGTGCTCTTAACCACTGATCCATCTCACAGCACTTGGAGTCCTTACCAGATAATCTGCAAGGAACTTAAAACAATGGAGGATTTAAAAAAGTTTAATGGTAAAAACCAAATTATTTGGGGACTATAGACATAGGTTTCTATTATAAAGAGCCAAATCTTAATAAATATAAGAAAGCTGAAATAATTGTATTTTATCTGATCACAATGGAAAATAAAACTACAGAGCAACAGCAAGAGAAACTCATGGATATCTGTAACATGTACTCTTTTTCCCCAGCTGCCTGGGTCCCTCCGCTGTCTCAGTCCCCAAATGACACATGGGACACTATATTAGTTATGAAGCTGTTGGCCATTTGCTATGGTTTCTTAGTTCTGACTTAATTATTAACCCATAATTCTAATATATATTTTTATAAGGACTTATCTTTCTGAGGACGCCACCCTGATGCGTCCTCTCCTCCCAGGATCACATGGCAACTCTTCACTCTTGACTCCATTTCCCAGAATCCTCCTCGACTCCTAGTCCCACCTATCTTGCTTCCCTGTTGGCCAACAGTGCTTTACTTATCAACCAATCAGACAAACATATACACAGAAGACCTTTCCCCATCAGAGATCAAAGAGTCCAGTATTGAACAGTGAATGGATCCTTGAAGAAATCAAGAGGAGAAAGTGCATTCCTTCAGTCTAATGAAATGAAAACACAACACGTCAAACCCATGGCATAAATAGAAGAATTCCCAAGAGGGAAAGTCACTGCTCTAAGTGCCTGTGTCACACCAGTAAGATAGCTCACTGGGTAAAGGTGCTGTCCCATGAGCCTAGAGACCTGAGTTCAATCCCTGGAATCCACAGAAAGGTGGATGGAGTGGACCAGTGCTTTGAATCCCCTAGATGCTGTGGCCGTGACCCCCCAACACAAATCCTTTTAAAATGATAAGGGAAATTAGGTTCCAGATTGCTTATAGACAAAGCTCAGAGCACTGGAAAAACAAATCAAACCTAAAATTAGCAAATGAGAGAAATAATTACCATAAAAATGAATAAGACAAGATAAAGAATCAAAGAGTTGCTTCCTTGAAAAGACAGACAAGATTAGAAAACCTGTAGGGTCAAATCAGAGAAAGGGGGCCTAAAGTAGTAACATAAGGAGGAAAAAGTAGCCATTACAATGGATCATAGTTACATCTAAACCAAACCAAACCAAGCTATTCTACTCCCACCAAAATGTTGTAGGTTAGTGAAGGAAGGTTCCCACTGCTAAATCTGATGACCCAAGTTCAGCCTTCCCTGTGGAAGAGAGAACAGGCTCCGTCCAACAAGTTGTCCTCTGACAACCACATGCTCACTGTGCCTACACACACACACACACACACACACACACACACACACACACACACACACACACACACACACACTCCAAACCAGTTGTTTGCATATATAATTCCAGCATTCCTACTCCAAGATGGGAGGTGGCTGGAGCTTCCGGGCTAGCCTGGGGTTTGAAGTGCTGCAGAAACAGGAGGACTTTGCCTCAACAAAGTAAAAGGAAAGAACCAGATGCTTAAAAGTTGTCCTCTGACCTCCACAAATGGGGTATGGCAAGCACACACACACACACCCCCTGGAACACATCATCCAGACACAGCTAATGAGGGACTGGGAGAAGAGGAGCAGGACAGGAGGGGGCAGGAGGGGGCAGGAGGGGGCAGGAGGAAGACAGGAGAGGGCAGGAGGGGCAGGAGAGGGCAAGAGGAGGACAGGAGGGCCAGGAGAGGGCAAGAGGAGGACAGGAGAGGGCAGGAGGGGGCAGGAGGAAGACAGGAGAGGGCAGGAGGGCCAGGAGAGGGCAAGAGGAGGACAGGAGGGGGCAGGAGGGGCAGGAGGAAGACAGGAGAGGGCAGGAGGGGCAGGAGAGGGCAAGAGGAGGACAGGAGGGGGCAGGAGGGGGCAGGAGGAGGACAGGAGGAAGACAGGAGGGGCAGGAGGGGGCAGGAGGGGGCAGGAGGGGGCAGGAGGGCCAGGAGAGGGCAAGAGGAGGACAAGAGGGGGCAGGAGGGGGCAGGAGGGGTAGGAGGAAGACAGGAGAGGGCAGGAGGGGCAGGAGGAGGAGGAGGAGAAGGAAAGGAATGAGCAGCACTGCTGGGGAAGAGGATAAATGGAACCAAAACCAGGAGAAGGAAACAGTAAACTGAAAGCAGAAATGAATGAAATAGAAACAGATTCCATCGTAGCAGAAATGAATGAAATAGAAACAGATTCCATCGTAGGCACTGGAAAAGCAATCACAAAGCCCAGGGTGGGCTCTTAAAGCAGTTAAAGTAACTTTCTTCATGTGACAATACAATAAAGGAGAAGGGAATTCTTAGGCACGGCAGACTCTTTGAAAGTCTGATAACTTGGCGCAGGGTGGCTCAGTGGGCACAGGCGCCTGCTGCCCAGCCTGACGACCTGAGTTTGATCCCCAGAACCCATATTGTGGAAGGAGAGAACTGACTTTTGCAAGTTGCCCTCTGACCTCCACACGTAACACTGTGACACCTGTCAGTGTCCTTGTACACACATGTGCACAGGCTAAATAAATAGAATGGGAAAAAAGGAACTGTAAAGCCTAACTTTAGAAAGAAAATCTGATAACTAATGCCAGTACATTTGAAAACCCAGCTGGAACAATTTTCTAGAAAAGAATTTACAAAACTGACTCTCTGTAAGAAAGTAAAAACCTTCAAACCTTCATCACTAGGAAGTATTACATTGAAATTCGATGCCCCCACCCCCTGAAAACCAGGCTAATCTGGACTGAAGGTTTTGCACACACTTGGGAGGGTTGTATAATTCTAGACATATGAAACTCCTCTGATTATTACATACATGGGCATTCCGGCCCCACCCACAACCTCATGGGGCTAATTCAACCTTCGTGGCCAGCAGTAGACAAGGGCAGTGTGAAAGAGGAAACTGCACCCAGGGTCATGAAATCTGTCCGGGTGCCAGGAAACAATGCAAACACTCGGAAAAGAGCGTAACCGTTGCCAAGCTGCGCTTTTCCAAAAATGCACCCCTTTACTTCACTGCAAGCTCATCCAAAGACCTGCCTTGACCCAGGTGCTGTGTCTGACACTTGGGGCTTCTTGGATGTCTCTCCCCTGTGCATCCCTGTGTCAACGACAAATGCGCCTGCTCAGAGCTCTTCTCACACTTCTTGCCTGGGTGATTTCAACTCCCTGCTTCCCAAGTTGCTCCTCCCCAGATGTCTCTTCTACTGTGCAGAGGTCCTCTCTCTGTTCCCCGACACTGGGATCTGCCTTAATCATTCATTTCCACTTAACCAAAACAGAACTTTTCAGTCGTGAGTGAATGGATGTTCGGTGATTGTCAAGATGATAAAGTGGGAAATTTTAGAAGTTTCTAAAAGGACCCCCTGGCAATCGTAGAGCCATTGGAGTTGTAGGCTCAGGAGAAGCATTTGGAGGAGATTGGTTCAAATAGTATAAAAGTGGGGAAAAAGCAGAATATCCTTCAAAAGCAGGTGACGCTAGTTGACTGATCTTTGTGTGTGGTGAAGGTAATGGATTAAATATAACTATATATTTGTATATTTTTCTTTAAAAGTGTATGTATTCAGGATGACCAGAAAACTCTTGTAACTTTCTCTTAGGGAATAGTTATGTCAGGTATCCTGCTATGCTGAATATTGACCAGGACCTGTATGTATAGCTATTTGCTGACTGCTGCCAGCTCCAAAGCCTTGCGTCTAGGGGAAACCTCGCCCTAGCTTAGCACCACAGGCAAGGAAGCCTCAGACGGGGAAGGGATCCAGCCTCAGTATGAGAGCTAGGGGCTCTGTCTGGGTTTTTCCACTCCTCATTGGGTGGTCTCAGTAGGGAGAGGGCCAGGACTATGGGGTCTCTGCATTTGTTTTGATCTCTTAACTCCTGTGACCCCTGCAGATCTCAGAGATTCTCTTTGTCTCCATCTATGCCTGTGAGTTCTTCATGAAGGTCTATGTGGAACCCATTAAATATTGGAGGGATGGCTATAACCTACTGGATGTGGTCATTATCCTTATTATCTTGATACCCTATACCCTTCGAAAGATCAAGGGAAGACATTACAGATACCTCCACATTGCTGATGGTATACAGTCTCTGCGAATCCTCAAGCTTATCTCCTACAGCAGAGGCATCAGGGTGAGTACCTGTGTGTGTGTGTATGTGTATGCACGTGTGCACATGTGCATGCGTGTGTGTGTGTACACGCATGCATGTGTATATGTGTGTGTCCTGCGAGTGTGTGTGAGCACTCGTGTATGTGTGTTTGTATGTATGTGTGCCCTGCGTGTGCATGTGTGTGTGCATGTGTGTGTGGGGGGTGAGAGATAATGACTAGTTGGGAGTGGTAGTGCATGCATTTAATCCCAGCACTTGGGAGGGAGAGGCACATGGATCTCTGTGAGTTTAAGACCGGCCTAGTCTACAGATAGTGAATTCCAGGCCAGCCAAGGCTACCCTGAGAAACGCTGTCTCGAAAAACCAAAAACCAAAAGCTCACTTAGAGAGGAAACAGAGAGAGAATGACAAATGCAATCTTGAGAAAACCAAGCAATGGCCAGGCCAGGAAAATCCACATTGAGGAGGCAACCTTGAGAAATCAAGTAGCAGCAAGGAAACTGAGGCAAATGCCCATCAGATGGGTAACATCATTAGAGAGGCTAGTCACTCGAGGGAAGAAAGCAGTCCATGGTGAGAGACAAGGAAGTGGGAGCAGACAGTTCAGACACCATTACCCAGAAGCCTGGCCTGGAACTGGGGAGGGGTGAGGGCTGAGCACACGCGCATCTGTTGCGGGATCCTGCCTGGGTCCCATTGCTGCGTCAGCCCCGGAATAACACATAGGACACTGTATTAATTATGAAGCTGTTGGCTGTTTGCTTGGTTTCTTACTGGCTATCTCTGACTTAAGTATTTAACCCATAATTTTTAATCTAAGTATTTCTCTTACCGGAGAAAAGGGTCCAGACCTCTTACTCCTCTGGCGGTCTACATGGTGTCTCTCTCTGCCTCTCCCAGAGTCCTCCTTGACTCCTAGTACCACTATCTTGCTTCCCTATTGGCCAACAGTGCTTTATTCAACAAACAACAAGAGGCAGATTTACAGAATGACATCTCCCATCATCTCCTCTTTTCTGTCTAAATAAAAGAAAGGTCTTAACTTTAACATAGTCAAATTATATATAACAGGACAGTTATCAAGTAAGAACATAGTTACAATATTTAGTCCATTAACATTTAGTAAGATTTAAAGAAAATATCGTCTATCCTATCTTTGTGAGTCTGAAGTCTTACATGTAACTTATCTTTTATCATAACTAAGGAAAACTATGATTATAACTATCTGTCTTCAACTCCATCAAAGACCACAGAAGGATAATATATAAACACTAGAATTGACAGAAACATCTTGCTACCTGGACAGTCACCCGAAGTTTCTCTGTAATGTTGGGGCATCCATCTTCAGCCCATAGGCCATAGTGTGTCTGGAAGACTTCTCAGCAAAGCAGGAAATTTCAAGCTGTACATCTGCATTGGCAGTCTGTCAGTCATTTTTCTGTGTCCTGCAGAAAGTCTGGCCGACTGTTTCATGAAGCAGGAACCATTTAAGACTGTCCAAATCTGCCGGGCAGTGGTGGCACACGCCTTTAATCCCAGCACTCGGGAGGCAGAGACAGGTGGATCTCTGTGAGTTCGAGGCCAGGCTGGACCGATAGCCTCCAAAACAATACAGAGAAACCCTGTCTCGTAAAAACCAAAAAAAAAAAAAAAAAAGACTGTCCAAATCCAGTAGTGACTTTCTGTGGGTCCTGCATGTCCAGATTATACAGCAATAGTCAAACAGTCTAGGCAAGAACATTTCTTGTCCAAATGGCTAATCTTTCCATGTTGAAAGTAGACTCCATAACAAGTTTCTTCAATGCCCATCTTCCTCTTAGATGTAATTGGTGCTGCCAGGAGCAGACATTTCTCATTGTCAAGAAAAACCCTAAAACATTTAAAATGCCATTTTCTGAAGGTCTTTGAAAGGTTTGAAGACTGTCTATTCCAAATATATCTCTGTATATCTAGAAAACCTAACTAACCTAACTATAAGTTCTGACTATTATAAGTAACTATCTATAATATTTAATTATGCATTATGTTTTAAAAGATCAGTATAAGCACAATACTTAATCAAGAGGGGAAATATACATATAATAAAATTGACCTTGAATTTGTATCAATAAATGAAAAACCATACCAATACAAAGTATTCATTTCCATACCATAATCCCCTTTTTCCTTTAAAAAGAAATTGGTTGTGATCATTAACCAATTATAAGCAACCCCATTCAAATGAAAACAAAGATTTATAAACAATATTTGGGAATTTGGACATTGCTCATTCCAAACTTCTTCCTGCTGATAGGGGGCACTGTCTATACCATGGGGATCCTGACAAAACACAGAAACCTGTGTAAGTCCTTATTTTCATACTTAAGACACTTGTTACACTAACATTTTCTTCTCACAGGTCCCCATGATTGTTATTGTCCCATCTCAGCAGGAAGTAAATTTGAGAATTCCAAGCCCCCTTTCCGTACTGTTGATACAACAGGATAATTTACACTTGTTAATGTTAGTTTTCAATTATTTTAGGGTTGGGATTGGAAGAAGGTGTTCAGACTTGAGCAGTCCTTTCAGATAAGTTTAGAATTTAGAAGGGATAGATATGTCTAGCTTAGCATATAAGTAGAGTATAACTTATTTATCACCTTCCATGTATATATATATATGTTGTATATGTTTGAGTTTTGTATCAAGTTTTTTGTTTTTTTGTTTTTCGAGACAGGGTTTCTCTGTATTGCTTTGGAGGCTGTCCTGGAACTCGCTTTGTAGACCAGGCTGAACTTGAACTCACAGAGATCTGCCTGCCTCTGCCTCCCTAGTGCTGGGATTAAAGGTGTGCGCTACCAATGCCTGGCCTTTGTATTAAGTTTAAATCTTCTATTTAGACTAGAAGGGGAATTGTAGGGATGAGCCCACATAGCTGTCCGCCCAAAAGGGCAGAGATATGAAGATTAGACAGGTGGGCTATTTAAGAAAAGGAAAAGTATTCTCTCTTTCTCTTTCCTCTGGAAGCCTGCCACACTTTCTGTCCCCCCAGCTTGTATGTAAATAAATATATTATATTCCATATTGCATTCATCTCCCATCACATATCCATACGCAGGTGTGTGATTACATAAGTAATGAGTGGCTGTGGGCATATGCCAGGGGGAGAGCTCACATTTAGGGCCCGGGCACACCTGACTGGACAGATAGACAGTAGACCCAGAAAAGCCTCTTCCTAGAGAGCAGATAATTGGGCAAACACAGACTCAGGAGGCGTGGCTATGGGATGGGTTGAGTATGAGTCAGTCTCGAGGCCTATTCCAAATGTTCTGGAGAATGTTCAAGAAGACTGCAGGAACTGTGCTTCCCGGAGTGGCTTTACCAACACGAGGAGACCTTCTCCACCAAAAGAGTGACAGCCAGTGGTCAAAGCCGCCCGAGCACTGGTGAGTCCTGGCTCACAGCCACCTGCGCCGTGTGAAAGGCAGCCAGAACGGCTTGGTTCAGCTTGGCCTGTACAGCCAGGCACAGCTTTCAGAGCTTGGCCCTGATGTTCTATTACTTTTTTTTTTTTGCCTGTACGTTTGTATGTGCACTATGTTTGTGCCTGGTGCCTGTGGAGATCAGAAGATCCCCTAGAACGGGAGTTATGGAAGGTTGTGAGAAACCATGTGGGTTCTGGGGCTCGACCCTGGGTCTCCTGTAAGAGCAGCCTGTGCCAGCCTGTGCTCAATGGCCACACCATGTCAATGGCCACACCATGTCTCTAGACCAGAGCCTTGACATCTGACTGCAAGTAGCCTTGTGCCTCAACAATGAATCTAGCAGAGTCATGCTTCCTTACTGGCTTCAAGACCAAGATGGTATTGGTAAAGGTTGACCGGCAGTATGGCCAGACAAATTAGCGGGAGGTAACACACAGGTCATTATTTCTTTTGTTTTCAGACAGGGTTTCTCTGTGTAGCCCTGGCTGTCCTGGAACTCACTCACTCTGTAGACTAGGCTGGCCTCAAACTCAGAGATCTTCCTGTCTCTGCTTCCCGAGTGCTGAGATTAAAGGCATGAGCTGCCCAGATTGTCAACTGACTTCTAGAGGAGTCCCTAACAGATGAGCAAACTCAGTACTCAAAGCTGGTTCTTGGTCCCTGACCCCTAATCACTGAAACGTCAATGCTTCCACCTCATGGCTGCGAGTCTGTTACACAGAGCGGGTTCCTCGCTTTTCACACCGGGTTCTGCCAGATGAGCACCCAGCTGCCAGGGCCCTACTGCATTCCAGCCTGGAGCTGCCACCTCCCTGCTCTTGCTGCCTGGGCTTCATGCTTTCCCCATTTCCAAGCTGCTGTGGTGGATGCTTCCTAGGTGTCCTGGGCCCCGCCAGGCCTCCTGTTCTGCTTAGAGGCACCCAGAATGCCTCAGAGCTAAGAGGACAACAATGGATTCAGAGCCCCAGGGGCTAAACTGGTGCTGAGAGTCGATTGTCCTAGCAACTGGGAATTCAAAAGCAGATGCCGCTTTCTGGCTAGACCACAGGAGTCAGAAGGCCAGGGCTTCAGCGGTGGAGGACCCATCCTCTAGAGCGAGTTTCTGTATCAATCCAAACCGCTAGATGCCGGCGCCTGGTGGGCTTGTGCTTGAAGAATGTGGCTTTAAGCAGCTGTCAGAGTCCTTGCAGCGAACATGACCTCTTTTCCTCTGGCTGTCATTTTTCAAGGCTGCTCAGTTGTGACCTCAGGTGCCACCGGTCCATGCGCTGGAAGAGCCACGCCCTGAGTCTTGTGTAGGTTCTACTGCTGAGCACACTGGCTTCCTGCCGCCACTGATCTTACACGTGCGCCATGGCCACGGTGCTCAGGGTCTCCCACTTTCTTAGGCCTTGTGTGTTAGTTAGCTTTCTGTAACTGCCACCAAAACGACTTGAGAGAACAACTTAAAGGAAAGAATTTATTATGTGACACATCCATGCAAGGGTTAGGGACAGATCTGACTCGGGCAGTGAGGGAATAAAGCAAATACAAATGACACAGACAGACACACGGACA